ACTAACCCTTGGAATTAATAAGGACACCTTACCAAATAAATGGAGAAGGGTCTCCAGCTTCCAGAGATTTGAACTTAATAAAATTATGTAACTACAGTTTATAAAAAAAAAAAAAAAAAACCTTATAAACACAAATGAATTAGCTGGACCTCAGGTCTTCTGCAGGTCAAAAGGCACCCTTAATCAAAGGGGATGTGGTGCAAAAGGTACAAAGGGAGAAATAACTGGCAAATGGTGCAATTAAGTGCATTGCAGAGGTTGGTGACAGGGCTATATGGAAACTATCAGCAGGGCTGGATTGCATCTTTCAGAATCAGCGTCATAAAACAATCATTCTCGATCACGAAAGCTATTTCTAGCCTATCACAAAAGTGCCAGGAACCATAATATAGGAACCATAAACTGCCGTTCCACACTCAGATACGCGTGCGCTGAACAGTTAGTGCCAAAACTGCTGTCGCAGAGACACAAGGAGGCTCCTCAGTGCTCAAACAAAGTTCCAAGCTACAGTTGACATAAAATACAGGCCACTAACCAAAGTGAATCACAGGGTTTCTTCCCTTTCTTCTAAATCATTAAACTGGCTTCCCATTTCCAGAAAATAAATAGAACCCGTGATGCCGTGTCAGAACTGTTAGGAAAGATGAGGAAATGCTGACCACTCTGTTGCATCATTGTGTTAGCATTTGGGAAATAAGGAAACCAGTTCATGCAAATCTGAAACCGATTTCTCAGCATTCCTGCTAAATATAAGATTTCAGTTTCTCAGCAGGCTGGCGTCAGCTTCGCCATATTGTTCCTCGAATGGCATCATTGTGGTTTTGCCAGGTCTAAAAATGTCTGAACAACAGCAGGTAATACATTTTTCTCAGAACTGTATATATTACAATTTTCAGCATCAGTGTTACCGTTACACGTGTGCAGGTGATACAGTGATAAACCCCCATATCAACACAACTAGATGGCCATCCACCTTCACCACCTTTCCTCTTTAGCCCACAGGTCGTGGCGCCCGTGTTTTCTAAAAAGCTCGGTCTATTTGACACCAGCTTGGACCCAGATAAGATGATCTTGTTTATACACTTTTTTTTCTCTGCATAGTGAAGTCTGAACTGTGAACTCTAGGTACACCAAGAATTTGTGTTCACTGACAATGCTTTTCAGATGTGCCTCTGAGGCCATGCAGGGATTTCCATTACCGACTCAGGTCTGTTTTTAATTTTAAAGTTCTGCCCAAGGGGCTGAAGGTCAGAGTCATTCAGGGTCAGTTTTCATTTTTGTCCCTCATGTGAAAGGTTTTCCTTTTGGTACCTATTATAAAATATAAATAAAGAAATTCCCATATAGTCATGCCGATTAAAAAACAAACAAACTTCAGACTCTAAACACTTTTTCCACTACTCAAGAGGAGTGTCTTAACATTTTGAGATAAACTACTGTCTTCTGGTAGAGCTATGCACTTTACTGCCACCCTGAGGACTGCACTGGGATTGTCACTCTCATTACTCTTTCAAATTCAGCGTAAATAAGGCCAACGAGCATGAGCCAGCACTGTGGGTACTGAAGCTCGGTAGTAAGACTCCTGTAAAGAACGCAAAATATTCCACTGTGCAACAGGTCAGACTGTATGACTAAAACTGGGTTACTGAGCAACCTCCAGTGTTTATTTCACAGCTTGATGACTCGTCTTCATGACTTACCTTCACAGATTACCCATAAAACGCTTTAACCAAGCCTCTACCCGTTCTGCTGCCCAAGGCAACAATGACATCTGCTCACAGCGCGTATACAAACACACACAATCAAACTCGACTCGACGTGTCGACTTGCCTCAGGGATGATTAGCAACCAATGTTTGACGCAACTTAAATGACATCTGACAAGGCAAAACTGACTGAACTACAAATGTAAACTACAGTACAAGTAGTATGTGACAAATCTTACTACACTGGTTCAGGATATGGGGTTACTCTCAACCAGTACACAAAGACATGCTACTAGACTGGAAAGTGATGACCACATCATGGGAAAACTTAAATATATGCCTATAACAAAGAAGCAAACACGACAATACAAGTCACCACTCATACTATGTTGTTCAGAACATCAGTCAAAGCAATGTTATGGAGAGACTGCTTATAATACGTTTTTTTTCTAAATAGCATCATCTAGAAAATCTTATTTATAAAATCTTTTGAATTGTGTTATTTTCACTTTTAAGAGCAAATCAAGGCAGCGCAACCAGATAATGCAGATTACAGTTTTAGTCATACAGTCATATAGACATATACAGAAATATCTGATCAGCCAATCACATGGCAGCAACTCAATGCACAAAAACAAGTGCAACTTCTCTGAAAATTACTTGTTGATGCCAGAGGCCAGCAGGACGACCAAACTGAGCTGATCAAGTATTGAGAGTAAATCAAATAACCGCTCGTTACAAGAAAGGTAAGTAAGTAAAATGTATTTATATAGCGCTTTTCACAGATTAAAAAAATACTTTAGAACACAGGAAATGGAAATATAAAAGCAAATAAAACAATATAAAACTATAAAAACAGCATAAGAGGAAAATAATCAAATGCTTTTCTAAATAAAAATGTCTTCAGCTGTTTTTTAAATGAATCAATGGAGTCCGTGCAGCGAAGAGACAGTGGAAGAGAATTCCACAACCGTGGTGCCGCAGTCTGAAAGGCCCGATCACCACGAGTTTTAAAACGAGTGCGCGGTACCACCAGCAGTCTCTGATCTAATGACCTTAAAGCCTGAGAAGATGAATGTGGTTTCAGCAGGTCAGATAAATATTGAGGAGCTTGACCATGTAGGGCCCTAAAGGTTAGAACTAAAATTTTAAAATGAAACTAAAATTTACAGGCAACCAGTGAAAGGAGGCCAAAACTGGAGTGATATGAGATCTTCTCTTTGGTCTTCCCTCATCCAAGAAGCTAATCTTCGGTACCTTCTCAGTCGCACCTGGACACCGGCCCTGGTTCCCCTACTTCTTCTTTTCTTCGTGTTAAATCCCACCGATATGTACGGTAACATGTACTCAGGTGAGGAACACGCAAAGGGGGGGGAGGGAAAAATTTCCTGTAACTGTCCCAGCTGTCAAACCAGCTCTCCATTGAATCTTTGATATACAACAGTGTGCCCCGATCATAAGTATTGGTGGCAGAGACAAAATCAAAACACAGGACGGTAAAAATAATATTGCAAGTGACAATAGCGGCCAGTATAAAACTATACCAGCGAGCTGTACTAGCGGCACAAGCGGCAAAGCCAAACACAGGCGCCATCTTGCTTCAAACACTCCCCGAGGTGCGAGTGAAGCTGAATCAGCTTCAGTCCGCACCAGGTGCCACTCCCGTCAGCTAAGAACAGGATAGTGAGGCGAAAATTCACACAGGCTCACCAAAGTGGCACAGTTTGGTACCAAGTGGAATACTACCTGATCATTGTTGCTGATCATGTCCATCCCTTTATGACCACAGTGCATCCATTCTTCTGACGGCTGCTTCCAACATTGTAACACAACATGTCGCAAAACTCAAATCATCTCGAACTGGTTTCTTGAACATAACCATGAGTTTACTGAACTCAAATCACCAGATGTCAATCTGCTGGAGCACATTTGGGATGTGAAACTACTGCTACTACTAGCAAAGTGTACCTAATAAAGGAGCCAGTGTGTATATCTTAATATAGTTATAATTTTCAGACAAAATAGGCCACTGACCTCTCACCCAAACATTTTTTCTTTTAAAAGTGTCATTCATGACCGTCACATCCGCTCAAGGCATTCCCACATTTTTAAGCAGCGTCTGCATGCAATCACAGTTTAACACAACTCAGCTCTTTATGGGATTTGGGGACCTTTACTCTTCTCCGCAGAAGCTCCAGACACAAAGTGTTGGTACTTGTCTTTTAAGAACAAGACCCTTAATTGATGATCAGTCAGCTCTAAATTCAGAACAACACAAGCTTTCCAAACAGAGACATGGAGCTAAGCTAGTTTGCAACAGACAGTTGTTTCATGTGGCAAAAATCTGTGGTTGCAATTAGAAATAATAGCCTGACTTTGCCTGAAATGAAAAGCCTATTGTTTCAAAAAATCCAAAAGGTTCAGGGAGAAAAATCTGCTACTGTTATCGTGAAGTATATCGAAAGTTTGGGACATGTCCCAACATTGCACGGGTGGGTGTTTATTGAGCAGCGTCGCTATCTGATCACATTATATTGCGTTCTGGGAAGCTGTTAGGAACATTTTTCAGGATTTTTTGCAGACTAAACAGTGTTTCAAGCAATAATCAAAAACATTTCACAGATTAAGGGAGGATTAGATACAGTGCCAGTGCTAAAGCCTGACTAATGTCTATTTGTGCTAAAAATCAAAGTTTGCATGCTGAAAACCGTTTCGAGAGCTACAGCAAGCACATTATTTGCCACAACTTGAACCCGATGACCGTCTGCACCATTTCCAAGCTGCGTGTTTGGCAGCCAAGTGGATCGGGATCCTGCAAGCCTCTATTGGCCTTTTAGCATCACTCATCAGTAACAAAACAGGCGCTTCCTGGTGCTGCAGGAAGAGCTGAAGTATAGCAGAGAGAGTTCCTGAGTGACTCATCATGTGAGATTCAAAGGTTCAGTCGGCAGTACGATGCGGCATACACATACATGCATGTGTGCTCATAGATGCACAAAGAGCTGGCAGAAGATTTGAGTCTGGCAGAAGGCTCAAATAGATGCCCAAGATTCTGCAGTGCCGATAACGCTAATGGAAGACAATGAGGTCATAATGAGATCATGATGAGATACTAGGAGGAGGAGCCCACGGACAACAGAAACAGGTGATATGGAAAATGATAAAGCTTGTGGCGCAAAAACAAAACCAAAAAAAGGATGAAGGGCGTGTCGATGTGCAATGTGTCGTTCACAGAGGTGGTGTTCGAATCTAATCGTTTTCAAAAATTAACCCCTTTGTGCCAAACGTAACTCACCAACAGATCTATGCTTTCGCGGCGTCCGAGAGATCCATGCTCCACCTTCTCACTGCCTGGCGCGAGGATGTAGGGGCTCTGGACTCCAGGCGGCTTCATGTTGGGCAGGCTGAGAGACCGCAAGTCCTTCACGCCCTGCTCCACCTTCAGCTCATCGCCTGGCCGAGCTACACAGAAGAAAGAAAAAAAAAGGTCAAGCTGTGTGGAAGAAATACTGGAAAAGTCTTAAGTCATTATTTATCTTTTATAGCAGAAAAAATGCCAAAGAGTTTTCTCTTCAAACTGACTTTTGTTCTGAGTTTGGACTTTTTTTGAACCCAACAGTATGGGGTGTGATGGTTTTTCTTACATTTTTACAGCCTCTTAAAAACACAGTAGACGGGTTAATACAAATCAAATGTTGGGCTTAAATTAAACCTGCAGTCAGGGGTAGGCAATTCCAGGCCTCGAGTGCCGGTGTCCTGGAGGTTTTAGATGTGTCCATGATCCATCACAGCTGATTTAAAGGGCTAAATGACTCCTCAGCATTTCTTGAAGTTCTCCAGAGGCCTGGTAATGAACTAATCATTTGATTCAGGTGTGTTAACCCCGGGTGGGATCTAAAACCTGCAGGACACCGGCACTCGAGGTCTGGAGTTGCCTACCCCTGCCTGCAGTAGTGTGTTTTTGGGTCACTTTGGGGCAGTGGAAACTTCTCACCTTTCAGGTAAATATCTTAGAAATCATGCAACAAAAACAAATATCCCTGGTGAAAGTGCTCACTTAAAGAGAAAACCTAAATACTAGTTCTAACTAAATTCATGTTAAAGCTCAGGAGAGACCGTGATTTAACTTCAAGTGTTTACAGGACCAGAACAGACTAGAGCAGAACAACATAGATTCTCAGACTTCATGCGACCAAACAGCTGTGAACTGTTTACCTTTGACCTCTGTATATTTTTGAGACTGTATGTAACTCCAGTCTGTGGTCAAGAGGTGAGAGAGTGGGAGGGGACAATTTCAAAGAAGAGCAATTACTCGTGGTACTGGATCTCATTATGAGCGGCTCTAATGGGCCTTTCATCTAAAAGCGAACCAGCGGAGAAGGAGCCATTTCACCCAGTTTCCACCCTGGAAAAAATTAGGGAAAGTCTAAAGACTCATATCACTGTTTAGTCAGTGAAATTTGTGAGAATTGAACAGATCAGTGACACATTTTCCACGTGTAGTTTTAATCACTAGTATATTACAAAAGACGCGGTCCACTCCTTTTTCCTGCTTGTCAGAAACACGGGTGTGAGAGGAAACTGGCCAGCCTCATTCGTCTCGATTAACCATTGTTAAAAAGGTACAGAGGTAAGAACAGTGCAACGTCTAAAACACTGCTGCTGAGGACGAGACTGCTCGGTTTCTAGGAAAAACAACAAAAGCTCCGCTTTTCCTGTGGGCCATTTCATTGTGCTATTGAAATTGATTTAAAGAGGTTTCTTACAGTCTTTTTTTGTCCAGCAACTGAATAACTGATCAAAAAAATATCCTAAACAAGCTGCGGACCTGCAGTTATGTCGGCTATTTTAAAGAAAAGGGGAATAATTAGATTTGTTGATGAGATTCGCATGATCTTTATTTGCTTTACCGAATCTCATGCAATCAGCTCAATAGTCATTTACAGGCGAAGGGCTGCAAAATGCATCAAAAGAATGCATTTTCTGCAATTAAAGGGGAGACATTTGGCAACATTTGACTTTGTTCTGCTTATTATTGGGTTATTACAAAAAAATAAATCAACCTGGGACAAAATTTTTACTGATTAGGATTTTAAAAGTATTGCACAAGATGGATTTTGGTTGCTTCAATCATATCACAGTGAAATAAAGCTTCTGCGTCTTTATGGGAAACGTATACTCGGGATTCGTGTGAGGGGTCACAGGAAATATGATGTGGAAAAATTACAGTATTGCTCTTTTGGCCTCTGTCGTGCTGATGATTAGTGGGTTTTTGTAGGGGATCTTCAAAATGAATCTGATAATTGAATACCACATTCTTCACTGCTCTTCCTGAACCTTCATCTGCCCTTAAACTCGCTCTGTGTTCAGGCCAGTTTCTCGTTGTAATAAAACACAGCCATAAATTTTAGTCCTGCATATCTAAAAAAACTTTCATTGCTGAGAAGTTGTTTCATCTTCTGCAACAGTCGACAGCGATAAATCAGCCACAAGAGCTATTCGTACGAATCGTGACTCATAATTTGACATCGCTTAAGTACTTGTTTGGTTTTACCTTTCACTTTGAGGTAGTGTCCTCCAAAACGGTAGGCCTCGAAGTTGAGGGACAGTGGCGTGTTAGACTGATCGAGGAACAAGTCCACCCGGGACAACTCGATGCCATTCCTTTCAAACACAGGACCTAGAACCTCTCTGGTAAGACGTGACGAAGAGAAATAAAATGTAACTATCATATAAACTGTTTTTAAAAACTTTTTAATTCAGTTTTTAACACAATGCTCACCGCAGTGTCTTCTTTTTCATAGCAGGTACAATTTCTGTTTTTATGTCCACATTGAGGTCAAACTTGAGGCTGAAGCACTCCTTACTGGGGTCCTGCAGGAAGAACAGAGGGACTGTGAGTTTACACAGGTGGGGCGGGCTGTCCGGCTGTATGCAGGCTCTCAGCAGAGCCACAGGGGGGCTCCTTCATACTACACTGCCTGGCTCAGACAAAGAACAGCCTAGAAGGTGCTATCACGCCATATCTTGGTACAGAGAAAAATGGCAGCTGCTGTATTTAACAACTCTTTGTCTATATCATATAATCTTCCCGGACTCCTTCCAAGAACACAGCATGGGTTAAAGTGTTTGCATGACATCTTACATCAGTGTGTCGTCTCCGTGGCTTCTTTTTCACCAGCTTCATCCCCACCGTTTTACGCTCCCTACAAAACAGTCAAACACATCATCACCCCTAACATGAAGCAGCACTTCAAAAAAAAAAAGCCCAACATATGAGAAGGTGCCGTCTTCATCTGTCTGCATCACAAATTTTAATGAGATCTGACAGGCGACATGCTTTATGGCTCCAATTTATCCTATAGCATGCAGGGGATAAGAGAGGAAAAGAGGCAAGCAGGAGGAAAACTGGAACACTGGTATGACATAACAAAGGGTTACTGACCCACGGTCACTGCTCCCTTCATCCTCTTCCTCCAGGTCCGAGGGGGGGCTGGTCCGTGGGGGACAGGAGCGTGTGGATACGTTCCGAGCCAGGATGGAGGCTAAAGGTTAACAAATCACAGCAGTCATTCTCTGTGTTGTTTCACAACTAAGTTAACCTTTATTGTAACAGATTTTAATTTGCATTGTTAATAAACGGAAAAGTGGTAGTTAATTCAACTTTTCCTAAAAGTTATTTACTGCAAAAGAATGAAAAGATCATTTTTCTGGTTTGTACAGCTCTGTCTGGATGATTGTTGTAAAATTCTGCTCTCAGTCTATGTAAATGGTAACAGTTTTTACTTCAGATATAGAACAAAAACATAGCATCCTTCGACAAACAAGGAAGTTCAGTGACAGTTACCTGCAGTTCCTGCATTTCCACTACATGGTGGTTTCTTTTTGCAAAGACATACAAAACCAAACAAAACAAATCTACACTATAGATCACATCTGGCTTTGGCACATTTCACTACATACCACATATCACTTTAGGTCTGAGATAAGTTTAGCGAGCTATGCTGAGCATTGTTGTGTCATGAATATGACCCTTTATATCTGTTTAAATCACTGTTGTAACTTATTCATTCTTCCATTCACAGCATGTGTTAAAAACAATACAGATTCTCTTTTGTATGGGCACGTTGCTCGTCCGTACATTTAGGGATGCATCCCTACAAATGTCCATTCAATTCAATTTTATTTATATAGTGCCAAATCAGAACAACAGCTGCCTCAAGGTGCTTTGTACTGTAAAGTAAAGGGTTGGACAGTTTCTACAAAATAACTGACTGGAACTTTGCTGGCACGATTGAAGCCAAAACTGTCTGCATAGAGTGGAAGACAAATTTTTACTTCAACAAAAGTAACAACGCTCACTCAAATTACAAAATGTGCAAATGTGGAATTTCGCGACAAACGCACGTTGAACCGTGCAAGAGGGAAATGATTTACACGATCTGCCTTATTTAGACAATAACAACAACTCTGAGTCCTTGACATTTACGCAGCGTCATCCTGCTCAGGGAGGGATACCAAATAAAGAAATCATGCAAGTCTACCTTGAGGTTGCAAGTCAAATCGGGGGTGCCGGTCAAAGTGCATGTTGTCTGAATTCTCTGAATGGCAGCGTGAGTCACATGACTCACACAGGTGGAGGGGGCTTTTGCTATTCAGGTCTTGACAGTCTGGGTGGTGACAAACCTAAACACAGAGAGCAAAAGAGGGGGAAAAAGAGAAAGTCAGAACAAAATAACTGCCAAGGACATAAAGTGTCGGCATTAAAATACAAAAACAATTTAAATGACTCGGTCAAAGTAAAAAGGGCAAAACAGTCACACACACTTGGAATAAACAGCTCCCTGCCTGACTATTGTTTCAGTTACAATTAAAATGACCACAGAAGCTGTTGTGGGCATTCCTGCGGTTCGGCGACTCCCACCTTCCCGCCATCTGTCCCTCAGCGGCATGACAGCTAATTGAGTTAAAGTCAGTTTTACAGCGCGTGTGCTGACATAGGACCAGCTTGCCCTGACCTAATCCTTACTGGTATCCCCAGAGGTGAAGCAACAAAACTGACCGCAGGTCAGCAACCGCAACACTTCCAGGCCAGAGAGCTCAAGAAGCTCCATAGCTGATGCAACATGCAGCAGAAGGCTGCAGGATTAAAGGATCTCCTGGCCCAGACATATACACCCACCCCACGTCAACAATGGGCGGCGAAGCACTGGGGGAGCTCTCCGTGTACACCTCCTCACTCCACCCTGTGTCCCTCTCACCATCACCCACGCCCGGCTCAGGAAGCATGAATGTATGGGGAGATACAATGGAAGTCCCGCTAATGTACTTCCTGTCATTGTTTCCATGTACTCATGAGGAGCAGTGTGTCTGTGCAAGTGTGTGTAAATATGTGTTTATGTGCACAGCAGAGATTTGAGCACAAGCTAGACAGACTAGCTGATATGTAAACAACTATAGAAGGCAAGCAGTAGATGCCATACCCATTCCATGAGCCTATTTTAGGCAATAATATGCACAAAGACAATACATCAATAAAGAAAGGAGTTTAAGAGGACAAAATAGACTCAGATTTAAGTACAATGTTCCCAGGCTTGGCACTGTAGCCTTATATTGTGCACATGGGACCTGAACTCTTTGAAAGTTGGCTCCATATCCAGATCAGCGGTCACTGAAGACCCCAGTAAACATTCAACGTGCCCCCTCTTTGGTCTGCTAATTCACAGTGCAGCCCTGTCAACCCACACTGACAAGCTGCCTTATTAATCCCCTCCTCTCAATGTCTAGCCAGATATAATCGCAGATTTTAAGGAGCAGATCGCAGAGCTGCAGGAGGACAGAAAGGGGGGAGGAAGGGAGTGAGCGGTAGGGTTAAGGAAGGGTGAGGAGTCCCGGTGAAGATATAAAGGCAAGGCAGGAAGGAAAAATAAGAAGGTCCATCCAGAAGCTTTTCAGAAGTACAAAGCCCCCTAATCTTGCAGCCTAATTGGTGCCTGTGCTCTGTCAAAGCCATCTGACGGTCCTGCAGAGATTAAACAGCCCCATAAGCCAGGGTCTTCTTCTCATTTTCCTCTCCCCAGCTCTGTCGTTTCTGTCCTCTGCCACCACCAGCATAGACTCTTCCCTTCCTCCGATGCACTCATGGTCACTGTACCCAGACACAGCTTCAACCAGAGAAGCTTTAAATAGAGACTACAGCGAGAAAAAGAGCAGTGAAGTTAATGAGAGAATGGCCTTTTGTACTGTAGCGAACAGACATGAGATTAAACAGCAATTCCAGTTAATTAAAACTTGATTTTTATAGTTTGGGTTGTCATACTGAAACAATTGCAGACAGTCAAGCAGGTGTGTTGCTAAAGTTGCAGACAGAAATGATGGTCATACCCATGAATACAAGATTTCAGATGTAAAAACGCAGACATGGGTGCTGATATTCATATTAAAAGTCATCACATGAGCACTATTCAGTGATAAAGATCGTGTAAATGGACCGACCTAGTTAGCAAATAGCCGTATCCACAAGCATTGCTCACTTTGTGGTGACTGCGGTAAAGGAGGACTAAAAGAACAGACAGAACATTTCTCAATAGCCACAGTCGATGACGTTCTGTAACTTGCAGGTACAGATAACTGCTGCGTCTCACATCTGACTCACTGACCTCACCTCACCACTCACCAGCTAGAAATAAGTGATAGAAAGTTGTTAAAACATCGCATGCTTATGCTTCTCTGAAGTGAACGTCAGCGCACACACGCGCGCGCATTTTCGAACAGCAGCGTCAAATATCTCATCACACAGAGATGCTAAGTTCTCCATGAAGTGTGGAGACACAAAGAGAACCACACCAGAGAAATACAAGCAAATCAGAAGCCATATTTAGACAATAAGATAGGTAGGCCCTCCACGCTATCAAGTCAGGGCGTTGACATTCCTGCAGGAACTAAAGCAGCTGGGGAAAAAAATCGGATGCTTTAGCCAAGATAAATGGTCCATCATAGGATGAACTAATGCCTCTCCTGGTGAACCAAAAAGAACCAACTGTTTAAAAAGTCAAATAAACCTAGAAAAGCCTGTAATCTCACAGTCATCACAAGATAGATTTAGCTATCAGAGATATGTAGCAGTTCAGGATATGTGCAGCAGAGATTTTTGCAATACTGAACATTCCTATCGGACAGTTATTCAGGTACAGCCTGACTTTTACGAAGCATTTCTGGATACGGATCAAAATGGGAAAAGGTGGAGGAGGGTACAAATGAAGTTGGAGGTGGCGGTGTGAGACAGCTGACAGGAAGCCGCGCATGCCTCGGACGGTGAACGTATGAGTGCGTGCGAGGCAACATGTGTCATGTGAGTGCGTCGCGTGAGTCCCCTGCGTGCCTGCTCACAGATCTGCCCGGATTAGTGGGGTAGTTCGGGGCGGCATGACTGCAGATGAAAACGCTGAAAACACAAACACACACACACAGCCCCAGCTTCGCCCCCTTCCCCAACAGCTGAGAATACACACACAGGCCCCAGCAGTGGCCCCTCGACTTGGCTTTTCCAGATCCGACGCCGCGTGGCACGCGCTTATGCATCCTTGCTTTCACACGTCCCGCAGCTTGCCAATTCTCCCCACATGCATAATTGAACGCACAAATACAGGCATGCCTGCTCAAAAGTTGTGTCATCGATGAGCCGCACAGCAGTTGTTCAGCTGTAATAAAGCTGTTTTTGTTTGAAAGAAGATGACTCGAGTCTCCTGAGGTGAATCAGGATTACCTCAACACAGTCGTCCATGCAGGGACACACGGTGAGGCTATATCCACACACATACATGACAGCTGAGGATTATTTTATTAAAGAAAAATTGCTTTACAGAACATTAGGCTACTTCACACAGTCGACCTTAATGACATTACAGTGGGGAACGGTTATCTTAAGTTTAAATTCAAATTTCTTAAACATGATTTATAATTAAAAGATGAAACTTATGGGTTTGGAGCCACATCAGCCAGGCAGTTTAATTTGGCTGCGAGCTCCTCACCACCACCACCACCACCAATAATTTTGGTATCCTGAGGACAATTTTATAAGTGCGGACAGCTTGCCACATCCTCACAAGCTGGTAATAACGCTTAGTGCATCATATAATTCTGCACACAGAAAGGCAGCAGACCCAGATTACAGATCTGAGTGAGTGTGATACGAGGCCCATCCATCACAGGGCTGCTTTAAAGACAATCTGCTCAGTAAAAGCCAAAGCTACACTCCTGCCTGTCTGCAACCTGACTTCAGTTCCCCCTCAAACCTTACTCAGCCTTCCTCCGGAACAGCTTGTCCTGCCAGAGAACACCTAGCGCTTATGTAATAGCACGCATCACTGTGTGTGCGTTTGCATCACGTTAAAGTTGGAGAAGAAAAGCAACGAGATATGGCTACTCTCTGTGTGGTCTGAAAGAAGAGGGGGAAAAAGACTAATCCTAGTTTTGTTCTGTAAGTGTCATTAGGAGGTAGAGTTTGATGGGAATTTATCAGCTATTCAGAAATGCTGAAAACTAAACCAATCTTACATTATAAATACAAAAAGAAGAGTTACTTATTAGGTTGATAAGCTTAAAACTCTATAGAAGACTACACCAGTCTATCCGATTCATCTACAAAAACACACAAATCAGCGATCATCAGTGGTGCTACAGAGTGATTTTTGTTTTTAATCACAGACCCTGGCCCAGTGTAACCCTGTTCAGGAATGTTTCATCCACTGCACAGTAGACAGCCCCGGATGGTTTGAATCGAAAGAGCTAAGAGAGGACACGTGAGCTGCTATAACCAAATGTCCTGTACGTTTGCCAAATCAGTCAGTTCTTCTTCATGTGCGCTGTCCTGGCGCTTGTAAAACCACAAGTACTGTTTGAAGTTGCTGAAAGTACAGATTTAATCCCACCCTTATTGTCGCCTGTCAGAGTTGACACCACACTTCAAAAGAGTTGAGCCAGCAAGTTGAGCTTTGTGCTTTGTCAGAATTGTTCTCACACAATGCGTTTTATTCTTACAAGGGAATCCTGTTTAAAATGTCTCATCGGCTGGCTTCGGACGCATACGTCTTGGTAACTTAAAGAGCAGCGCACAGGCGAGCTGTACCATGGGAACCATGCATGACTGTCTTCAAGCATTCCTTGAGGCAGCCTCAAACAGGCTAGACCCAGTACAGACACAAGTTCAGAAGGAGTGCATT